CTAGCAACATGTTAGGATGTGAGATGAAGCTTTGCCTCCAAGAAGCACTCTGGTTGTTTTTTTCTCCAAGGCATATCTGTTTGTTCTTTTGGCAGTCCGTGGCTATTCAGTATTCTTCTCCAACACCTCAGCTCAAAGGCATAGAGTCTTCTTCAGGCATCATTATTGTTCAGCTCCCAGAAGCACAGCAAGGGACTGAAGGGACTGAAAAGACAATGTCCTCAATCAGGCACACAAACAGATGTCTTCAAACTGACATCATTGCTCCTTAGTAATTGGAGAGGTTCTTGACAGCAGACTAAACATGTATTATGTCTCCTGATTTTCTGACTGCTGAGATCAAGGCTGTTGATTGTGGATCCAACTAGATAAAGTTGTTGATGATTTTAATTTCTTTCCTCCATCTATCATGATGTTGCCTATTGGTCCACAGGTAAGAATTTTTGTTTTCTTGATGTTGAGATATAATAATCCATATTACAAGGCTGCAGTGTTTGATATTCTGCAGCAAGTGATTTAAGTTCTTCTGTCAGTAAGCAAGCTGGTATCATCTGTATAATGTAGGTTGTTGATGAGTCTTCCTCTGATTCTGATGCCACATTTTTTTCACAGGGTGCAGCTTCTCGAATGATTTGCTCCACATACAGAATAGGTCTGGAGAAATAATACAACTCTAATACACACTTTTTTAAATTTTAAACCATGTAGTTTTGATCTGTTCCCACAACAGCTTTTTGGTCTAGGTCTGACATAAGCACAATTAAGTGTTCTGGGTTTTCCATTCTTCTCCATGTTAGCCATAATTTGTTATGATCCACATTCAAAAGATTCTTTGCATAGTCAATAAAACACAAATACACGTTCCGCTGGTATTCTTTGCTCTCAGCCAGGATCCAGCTGGAATTAGAAATTATATCCCTAGTGCCACGGCCTCTTCTAAACAGAGCTTGAACTTCTGGCAGTTCTCTGTCTGTGTATTTTTCTAGCCATTTTTGGATGACCTTTAACAATGTTTTGGTTGCATGAGATATATGCCAGGAAATTTGGAGGACAGTTGCCTGGCCCGAATGACTGGAAGAGATCCTTATTTGTTCCCATTCCCAAGAAAGGCGATCCAACAGAATGTGAAGATTATCAAAGATTGTTTTTTAGAATAGTGGATGATTTTAGATAATATATGGAGAGTACCCCCCTCACCCCCTCCATTGAGCCAGTTACAATCCACGGTGACCCTATAGGCCAGACTAGACCTGCCGCATAAGGTTTCTGAGGCTGTAATTGTTATGGGAACATGCTGTCTCCTCCTCCTGCAGAGTGGCTGTTGTTATTATGTTCCATTGAATAGTAATAGTAACCAAGTCATGGCTGACCCTCCAGCGGGTTTTCAGAGGCAGTAAATGGCATGGGATGAGATTATTCATCTTTCTCCCACGGACTGGTTGGTAGATTTAAACCACCTTTGGGTCAGGAGCCCAAAGCTTTGTCTACCACATCACTGAGGCCCTAACACAGCATCTGCATATTCACGGTCTATCGGTCTATTCACTTAGCTAACCATCAAGCAGTCCTTCTTATTATATCGTCCTGTGATGTTGGCAGGCACACCACTGTTTGACCATTGAAGGTCAAACTGCTCAGGGACACCATGTGTGGGGAAACAGAAGGCCCAGAAGCCAAAACAAGACCTTAGTACGATGGTGAGGCACTTGAAGATGGCAACAATTGTGAAGACAATGTAGATTCAAGCACCGTTTCATACAGTTTTGTGTAAGGTTGACCATATTAACACTCATTGCTTATGAGTCAGAACCGACATAGAACTGACCCTCCAGTGAGGTTTTTACTTTTCTCCCTCAGAGCAGCTAGTGGATTCGAACCACCTGAGTTAGGGTTGGCAGCACAAGTTACTAGGCTACCCAAGCTTCCTATGTTGGCCTAGTTGGAAGCAACTCAATGACAACTATTCAGCTAGTCATTCCAAAATATTGACCCAACAAAAATGAAGTGCTAGTCACTTAAAAATTACATCATAGTCCAAATAAGCTACTTTGGTAGAACAGTAACAAACAATGTCAAATATTGTCAAAATATCAGTGGTTTAATACCACAAGTTTTCTGTTCATTCACTCTTCTTTTCCAATGCAGGTCGGTTGGGGGTTGTGTTATCCTTATTCAGGGATCTAAAATTGAGAAGGCTCCATCTCTGACACTCCGGTGAGTGTCAAGATAGGAAAAACCCCGTAATGATTTACTGATAAACTCTTAAAAGTTTCCACCTGGCATCAATACCCTGTTCACATTCCACTGGTCCAAGCAAAGCACACAAGACATCTAACTTCAGGAGGATGGGGTAGTGGCCTCCCATCATGGCCCTGGTAGGAAACCAGGAAGAAAGTATTTGGGGCACAGCTTTCCCATTCCACACATACAAGCTCTCTACCTGTATGTACCACAGTGCTTCCAGTACACAATTTAGGGGCCCTGGTAGTGTAGTGGCATGACCATTGAAATCCTAATCAAAAGATGGTGGTGGTGGTTGTGTACCATCAGGTTGGAACTGACTCAGTAGATTTTCAGAGGCAGTATATTGCATGAGAGGAGACTGCCCATCTTTCTCCCATGGAGCAGTGGATGGATTTGAACGGAATGCCTTTGTGTTGGCAGTGCAGCTCCTTACAACTTAGCCACCAGAGGTAATTCAAAAGCAGAACCAGCTCCCTGGGAGAGGGATGAGGCATTTTGCATCTGTAAAAGATCTATCGTCTTGCAAGCCCAATGGGGCAGTTCTACTGTCCTATAAAGTTGTTATGCATCAGAATCAATTTTACAACAGTGCTGTTTTGGCTTAAGTTTCATGGTACAATGGTTAAGTGTTCAACTGCAGAGTGAAAGTTTGGGTGGTTTCAACTTACTCAGAAGTTCCTTGGGAAAAAGGACAAGGTGATGTGCTTCTGTGATTATACAGCCCAGGAAACCTATATAGCAGTTCTTGACTTTCCTATTACATGGTTGCTATGAAGTGTCCACTTAACCGCAAACCCCATTTTTAAAAAAAATTAATTTTAATGAAAGTTTACAGACTTAGGACTTCCAATCATTCATTGTTGCATTTTCTCCCTGCCTAGCCCCTCCCCCAAATTCACTCTTCTTGAAAAGAAAGAAAAATTCTTTCATTGTTATGCAATCCCTCCCCCCAAGTCGTGCAGCCTTTACTCTGGACTTCTGTAATGACAAGAATACCCATTCATATACCCCTTTTAAACAGTTCTCTCCTTCATCTGTTTCAAGGAAATATATTTACATCATTCCTCCCCTCCTTTTCTGTCTTCCCTCAACCCTGATGCCAGTCCCATTTTAAGGTGAGGAAACGGAAGCTCTGGGAGGTTAATTCATTTGACCAAAATCACAGGGAGATGGAGACAGGCCTGGACAGAGCCGGGTGGAGGCCAGTGGGCAGGCAGGGGAGCGAGGTAGGGTTCCAGGGCCTTGTCCTGGCAGCGGGATGAGGGTGCAGGGGGAGTCCCTAATGTTGCCAGAGTCTGGAGTAAGGCGATAAAGGGCAGGCAGGAGTGAAGGCAGCAGGAAGGCAGAGGGATGAAGAAGCTGAGGGCTAGCTACTTGGGTTCACTGGTTAGAAAACACAGAACCACCCAGACGCCTCACAGACAGACCTCATTCTTGCTCTCCCAGTCTGATATATTGCATCACTTACTTTAAAAATGGAAAAACACCCCCAGGCCTTTTATTCTGACTTTCCTCCTTAAATTTCTTTGCCTCCTCTTGGCCTAATGGGGGCAGCCTTGTTGCGTTTGGAGGGGCTTTCCGGCAGTGGGGAAGATTGTGGGTCCCCTCCATGGTACAAGCTTAGGCCCGGGGACGCAGGCCCTGGCCCTTCCAGGGACAGGAAGGCTCGGAAGGGCCAGGAGGCCTTGCAAGTCGCCTCCTCTTCCTCAGAGGGGGTGCTCCGAAGGCCTCCGCCTGGGGCCGCCGGTTTGCCCACCTTCGATGGCGGCCTTTGATGAGAATCCTGCGTCCCAGGGCCCCATCTTTTCCACGCCCCAACTTTCCCTTTCTCCCAGGTGGCGTCCCGGCGAGTGTCTCTGGGCCTGCGGGCCGCGGGTCCAGCCCCTGGGCCTCCCTGTCCCCGACTCCGTCCTGCGAACAGGGCGCGGGGACCCCAACTGCGGCACCCCCGGGAACCTGGGGGAGCAGAGCTCCCCGGCAGTGGCAGGCCCCGCGAGGCGGAGGTGCGGGCTGCGACTCCCCGCCTGTAACCCAACACCAGCCTCCCTTCCCCCACTCCGGCCAGGCGGCCGCGGCAACACCTCGGAACCATGAAGGCGAGCCCGGACCCCTGGCGCCCCCGGCCACAGCGCGATCGAGCCCCGGAGGCGCCTTCCCGAGTCCCCGGCCCCGGGGCTCCTGGAGCCGCCACCGCCCGGGCGCCGGCAGGAAGGGAGGCCGAAAGATCGGAAGAGCCAGCGGTGGCGGAGGGCCCGCGGTAGCGGAGGCGGCGAGCCCAGGGAAGGGGCGCTGCGAGGGGACCCCGGCCCCGGCCCCGCCGAGGGAAGACAAAGCCCCGGCAGCGGCAGCCGCGGCCCCGAGGAGCGCGCACAAAGGGCGAGTCCCGACACGCTCTCCTCCCCCTCCCGGCGGGTGGCCCGGCGCGGGGCGGGGGCCGGTGGGGGCGGGGAGGAGGGGGGTGGGGAAGCCCCGGGCCGCGCCCCCCAGCCCGCCCCCGCCCGTTGGCCCGTCCTCCCGGGGAGGGCTCGGGGTGGGGGGCGCGGCGCGCTCATAACACTCCCCTCGGGCGCCGGGAGCCACCCCTCTCCCCTCCCTCCTGCGCACCCGCCGCCTCCCCTGCCACCTCCGCCACCTCGCCCGCCGCTCGCAGCTCGCCGGCCGGGGGGCGGTGCGCGGCCGGTGCGCGCGGCGCCGCCAGATGTGCCGTCCGCGCCGCCGCTACTGAGCGCCAGCCCGACCGCCTCCCCAGATGCTGCGGGGGCGACCCTGAGCGCACCCCGCGTTCCCTCGGCGGGGACCCCGACACTCTCGATCGTCCCGCTCCTGCCCTCTCCCTGCCGTCTGCCCGCCTTTGGACATGGAGGGGGCCGTGGCGCCCGCGGTGGCGGGGGACGGTCCTGACTTGGGGTCCGGGGCGCCGGGTTCGCCTCCGGAGGCAGCAGCCGGGGCGACTGTGGTCCCCGCGCAGGCGGCCGCGGCGGTGGTGGCGGCGGCGGTCTCGGAGCCCAGGAAGCCACACGGAGTGAAGCGGCATCATCACAAGCACAACTTGAAGCACCGCTATGAGCTGCAGGAGACCCTGGGCAAAGGCACCTATGGCAAAGTCAAGAGGGCCACCGAGAGGTTTTCAGGCCGAGTGGTGAGTGAGCGAGTCCTGCGGGCGTTCGGCTAGACAGCGCGGCTGGGGGGACCGAGGGTGCGCCGTGCGGGGTTTGTGCGCGCATTAGCGAGCTGGTGGGAGAGGGGGGTTCCCGGGGAACCCACAGACAGACTCCTCACTCTTCCCCCGGCACCCCGTGACTCAGGCGTGCCTCTCTCCTTAAACACTTGTTACATCCTGTCTGCACATATTTTGGGGTTTTTATTTTTTTGATCCAAGCAGCAAAGTAGTGTTTATGATTTGCAAACACTTCGCAGCAATGGGAGTGTCGGGGTCTCCCTTGCCGGCACACATTCAGATTATATCCTAGATATATCTCCTTTCTCCAACTCCTTACAGATCCACCTCCTTAGCTCAGCCCCCCAAGTCCCGTGTGTTGTAGGCGAATGCGGTCCCCCGCACCCACCCACCCAGCCACCCACCCATCTACCCACACACTTCTCAGCATCCTACCAGATGGGCTCCCTGATGCCGCTGAGGCAGCAAGAGAGGGGAGGACTTAGGAGCTAGTGTTAGGATGAAAAAAAAAAAAAAAAGGCTGTGGCAAGCCTGAGGGCTGTGACAGTTTGTGTCGGGGCTTCAGGGAGGATGAAATTTCCCGTGGTTATGTGCAACCAGCAAGACACAGAGTTGAAGCCGACCCTGCATTTCAGGTCCAAAGCTGCAGGGCTTCTAAATTGCTTCAGGGGTCTGGCCCAGCCACCCTGGTGCCAGGTGAAACCCTGCCAGGGTCCAGCCACTATTTACACAGCGCCTTGGGGTTTCTGCCTCCCATCTCAGCCTGAGTTTGTTGTCAGTTCTCTTTACTGCACAGCACGCCCTTGAAATCCACCCTGGTTGTGGCCAGGGGGTTGGTTTCAAAGTGTCTGACTGTTGCAGAAAGACTTTGTGTGGTGTGTGGCAGAGAATGAACACAACTCTCCGGTTTAAAGCAGATCAGATGTATTTTAATCGATTTAGGGCATAAGTAAGGAACTAATTATGGGGTTCCTTGTGTGCACTTTGGAGGGGTGTTTCGGGGCCCCAGCTTGCTTATAAACTTTGCAGATGACCACAGGGAAAAAGCGAAATGAACTGTCAAGTGAAGTTGTAGGATGATGTTGATTTTTTTTTCTTTTGCTTTTGCTGGAGGACAGCTGTGTGGAGGAAATGAGGCACTATCAATTAAGTTCAAACCCCTTCCTTAGTTCTTTAATATCTGCCTCTATCAGTGTTTTGAAGAATCTGAACACGCCCTCATTTTCTCAGCTTCGCTGGTTTGGTTGACATCATTTTATTCTATTGCTTGAAAGAAAAAGTCTGTTTTCAGTTAATTAGAAATTGGAGACGTTGTACATATATTTCTGAGCTGCCTCAGTGATAAATTCTAGAGCAAGGGAGTAGCTGAAAATGCACCCTGGGCAGGTGCCCATTTTTAATTTTTTTGGGGGGGGGTAGGCTGACAATTTTAAAGCTATGATGGGCTTTCATGATGTCCCCCCAGTGAACACACTTCCAGTTTGTGGAAGAAGAGGCTGAGGAAAATGTACTTCATTCATGCCTTTCTTCTGAGGAGCTGTGCATGTCCCCCAGGCTGACTAAGCAAAGCGGCTTCTCACTCATGACGTCCTTCCTAATAGGTGTTGAGGAATCTGTGTGCAGGGAAGCTGGATGGAGGAATAATGAAAAACAGATCCAGGAGATCCAAGCTGCAGGTTAAGGGTGTGAGCATCTGAGGGACTGAGTGGTAAAGGTGTGGCTGGCATCTTGTCAAAAGGGACACTCCAAAATGCTCATTTATGCAGAGAGCTGCTGTAAATAAATCCTCTGAAAGAATGCCATCTTTTCTTAGTGTAAATGTCTTTCCTAGCTTCAGTGGGGCTTCCTGTTAGGCCTTTTTTCTGGCTTCCTGAGCTAAGGATAAGAGTGGAAGGGACTTGGATCCCTAGGCAGGGAACCTGCCTTCCTCTTTCCCTGGGCATCTTGATCCTTTATTTGCAGAAATCCTGAACATTCCATCAGGATTTAGCCAAATGGCCACTAGGGGGAGCCCTGAGAACAGAAGAAGCTCATTTCTCAGTCTCAAGACTTAAATTCGCCTTGTTATTGTTCTTCCCTAGTTATTTCCCATTGTGCTTTCATTTCACCGAAAATTCTTGCTTTAATAAAAAAAAATTAGGTAAAGATTTGGAATCTGGCAGCAGATGCAGGCCCAGAAACTGGCAATCTCCAAATGGCTTCGTTTATTCATGGGGCTGCTTCTCCTTGACAGATAAGCTTAGAATGCCAGGAGTATCATCTGGGGGAAGCTTGTGTTAAACAGATGGGAAGACCGAGATGCAATGCAAGTGTCCTTGGCCCTGCATCCTGCCCCCCCATCCCCCCCGCACTGAGAGCCCAGCTCACAGATGGTATAAGATCATAAGCACGAATTTCCAGGTAAAAAATTCCCTTTGTGAGGCTGAACCGAAAATAAAACAACATAAAATTAGTCAGCAAGTTGTTCTTGCACAGATAGTGCTAGTGACTCAGATTCTGTCAGGAGTAGCATGAAAATTTCACATCAAGTATGAACTAGGGTTTTATTTTCTGGGTTCTAATGAGGCACTAAACACGTTTTAGCACATAGCTAAGCCCTCCAGCAGGTTTTTTTTTTACAATTGTATCCATCTCTCTCCCTCAGAGTGGGCTGGTGGATTTGAACCTCCGGAGTAGCATGGTGCTTGGGTTGACGGCGCAACTCTCTACAGACTATGCCATCTGAGCTCTCTTCATAATCTAAGAGCCTTTCTAAATAATAGCTTTCTTAATAATCTCACAGCCTTTCTATAAACTTTCCCTAAAAAAGAATAATTAAAAACAGAAAAACAACAACAAAAAGTGTATAACGGCAGTGACCCGACAGGACAGAGTGCATGGACTCAGAGGATTTCCAAAGCTGTGATATTTGTGGAAGTAGACAGTCGCATCTTCCTACAGTGAAGTTGATGAGTTCAAACTGCCAATCCAGCAGTCAGCAGTTGGTTGCTTTAACCATGTGCCACCAGGGCCCCTTAAGTGATGCTGTAAGCAGCATTGCTTTTGGGGTGCAGCTAGGGCAATTGAGCCCCTGTTTGCCAGCCTTTTTGGTACTTGAGTAGAATTCTGCGGTGACGTTGTATTTCTATCTGTGCCAGCCTCCTTCATAGCAAGCATCTCAGGAGGAGATGGGGCTACAGCCGGCCGTGAGAGTGCAACTGGCTGGAGTCTTTGTGCTGGCTGTCAGGCAGCTTCATGGTACCTGCAAACCGACCCTCGTGTGAAAAGCAGGAACCTCTCTTGGAGATGAGAGATTTTCTTTTTTAAAAATGGGAGGAAGCTGTTAATTACACGTGTGAATGAAACACAACACAACACAATAGCATCTTCTTTCTCAATTCTGAAAGGGAGCTCAGGAGAGGGTTGCAGAGTCTGGAGCTTGGAGTCAGAGGTCCTAGGCATGGTCTAGCCTTAGGTGTGGTCCTAGGTGTGGTCTAACCTTCCTTGTGGCCCAGTGCCCTCCCCTCTTCATTGTCAAAAGGATTCTCCTGCCCCCTATATCTCCTTTTTTTTAGTTTTGTATTAAACCTTCCCAAAACAGAGACATTCAACAGTAGTTAGGATCACCATCTCCCAACTTTGAAAAAACCTACACCCCCCCATTGAGGGAACAAAGTATAGTTCAGCTGAGTTTATACCACAGTGAAGCCTTCAGTGGTGAGAACAAGTCAAAGATACATCACGCTGAATTTGGGAGACCTCACTACTGAAGGCTTCCCAGTCAAAAGGATTCTTGTAGCCCTTGCTGCTTCTCAAGACAAGGGCCCACTCACAGTGGCTGGCTGCCGACATTAACACCTGCCACTGAGGTGTTCACAGGCTTCAGTTATTTGCAGATGACTTACCTGGGCTACTTGGTTGGGCTTTGTCACTGCTGGATACCTCAACTTCTGTGAAATGCGCCTGGTAAGAGTCTCAATTTCACAGGCCTACGAGAATCAAGTGAAAACATCTCTATAAAGGCTAGAGGAGAACTTGGCCAACGTGAGCCTCTCCTCCAGAAGACTTTTTCAGCTCCATTTTAGGCATATTTAAGTTTTAAGACTGCCAGTGAAGCACCATTAATGAGACCCATCAACTCTTAGGGCAATTAACTACATGCTTGGTTAATTAGAGAAGTGTGCCCACAGGAAGCCAGGATAATGACTTGATTCCGATAGGATCTGAATGCATTTCTCAGGTCTTGAGATCAGACCTTGCTCAGTAGACACCGTTTGTTTTGATACAATTCTGGGCAGGACTGAAAGGTCAGAGTGCAGGCCTGCGTCTTGTTTGAGCTCGGTTCCCTGGACCTTCAGCCCTCATGAATCATTGCCAACAAAGCAAAAACAACAGACTTTTGGGGGAGGAAGTGTCATGTGACCACCTGACCCCCGAAGGGCCAAGTTCCACTTTCTTTCCATCCCAGCTGCCAGGTGCCAGGTGCCAGTGCCTGTGAGCAGCAGGTGAGTATCTGGGAACAAAGTGCAGGGCTGGCTGTGGAGTGGGATCCCCCGCCCCCGGCCCCACTATCAGGATGCTAGTATAGTGATTTGACCAAAAATGGGTGTTTAAGCACTGTGCAAAAATTATTCATAGCCTTGAACTAGAAAACCATAGACAAGAATTGCCACTTAGTAGGCAGCCTGCTGGGCTCAGAGGTGTTCGGATGGACCAGGCATAGGAACTCTAAGTGCCAAGCTGCAGCTCAGTCCCAAGGCCAGGTTTAGAGGAGAAGGGACCACAGCAAACTTGTGGTCTGACCTAGTCATGATCAAAGTGGGGAAAGTACAGCACAGGGAAGTTAAGTGACTTTTTTGAAATCCCACAGTGTTTAAGTGACTGGGTGAGGCCTAGAGACGTGATTGGTCTTTTTCTGTGACTCATTTCATATAAACTGTATGTAGAGTAAGACAGGAGCTCTGGTGTTCCAGTCCACTGGG